AAAGTGAATAGTATCATGATTGAATTTTTAGTGTAAAAATGTGATTTTTCGTTAAAGTAAACAGTAACATGAGTTTTTTGTTAAAATTTCCTATTTTTAATATCGGTGTAATAAGTCAATAACTAAAGAAAGAAGAAATTTAGTAGTTCTGGGCCCATTATAGGCGTTTCGCTCTGGGCCGCATATGAAGCAGCTATGAGGTGAATGTTTATGGCCAGCCCACGAGCTTGATACCTTACGTGAAAGTTTATGAACCATAAATCTTTAAAAAATAAAAAAATAAATAAAGATTGGACCGTAAATCACATCCGTGAAATACATTATCAACGGTCGGATTTCTCCAAACCTCATTAAAACCCAATCCAAAGACACACATATTAACATATCTCCCCTCAGCCGAACCTTCCCGAATGTTAGTGTTTAAACCCACCCAACCTTCCATTTGATTCCCTAAGCTTCGATTGCGTTCCCAATCAATATACCGTAAGTTTCCTTCTCCTCTTCTTTAATCTAATTTTTAAAATTTTATTTAAATTTATTCTATTTTTTCGATCAATTACATAAATAATTATGTGCTCATCTTCAATTTTGGGTTTGTGATTTGTTACAGTGAAATTAGGGTTTTCGATTTCAATTTCGGTTTGTAATTCGTGGGTGGGGATTATTGCAGGTGAAAGAAAATGAGGGGCAGGAGCTATAGTTACAGCCCTTCGCCGCCCAGGGGTTACGGCAGGCGACGCCGTAGCCCTAGCCCGAGATGTCGCTATGGAGGTCGTGGTAGGGATCTTCCCACCAGTCTCTTGGTCCGCAATCTTCGCCATGACTGCAGGTATTTTATGTCTAATTCTTTATTAAGTTGTAATTTATAAGTATTTCATAACTTTTGTGTATTAATTTTGTTTCTTGAAAGATATGGATTGGCGGAAAATAATTGTAAATGCTTAAAATTTATGGCTGATAGATTAAGATTGTGGATTTAGGTGCTTATTTTTTACGTTGTTAGAAGTTTTCATCATTTCTTAAAACATGTCTTAAGAACTTGTTTGGTATGAGATTCAAAATTGTTTTTGAATCTTAACAATAAAAAAGAAAAAAAAAAAAAAAAACCTACAGCACCCCGGTGGAGTCGGGAACTGCTAGGTTCAATCGGACAGACAGATGGATCCGAATAGAGGGGTCGGAGGATAGGGGAGCTGGCAGATGAGAGAGAGCATTGGAGGAGAGAGAAGAACTGAGGGGAGGACACACAGAGGATGGAGATGGAGAGCTAGCAGAGAAGATCCGGAATGAGAGGAGAGGAGAGAGAAAGCAGTTGGCTTTGAGTTCAAAAACCCTAAAAGTTCACTTTTGTGTTTTCAAGAAGTAGGCCAATTTTGAGCTAGTTTTGGATCCAATTTTTGAAAACAGTCATACCAAACAAGTATTCAAATTTCAAGGTGTAAAACTTAAAAGTGTTTTTGAGTTTAAAAAGTTGGATTCAAGTAGAGGACCAAACGGGCCCTTGTATTCTGTTGCTTTTGTGAAAAAATTATATTATGTTTGTTGTTTGCAGGCCTGAGGATTTACGCGGGCCATTTGGGCGATTTGGCCCACTTAAGGACGTATACTTGCCTAGGGATTATTATACTGGGTAAGCTTTGCTTTCTATCTATGCAAATTATGAGTTTTTGTTATTAAAGATTTGTAAGGAATGTTTGAGGTTATATTGTTCTTGATTTGAGCTAGAAGTTCCACGTGTGTGAATTTTGTCGGTTGTTTTGGTTTTGATCCTGAGTGTTTGTTGGAGTGCACTTGTTTTTGTTTTATTTTTTAATGAATTATCTTCAACTGCTTTATTGGAATTTGGTTGTTTTATTGAAAGTGTTGAAGACACCCATGAAGTAATAAGAGTACTGTGTTGAAGACAAGAATGAAGTAACAAGAGTGTTTATTCAAGAGATCAATGAAGTAAGTAATTGTTGAAGATGGTTTTAGTATACACGAATGTTTTGAAGAAAGTTGGTCTTAGTGTACATGAAGATTTTGAAGAAAGTTGTTCTTAGTGTACACGAAGATTTTGAAGAAAGTTGGGTTGAAAACATTGAGAAGAAGTTGAAGTGTTGAAGAATTTCAACTCAATTTTATCTTTGACTCCAACAAGGTTAGCAGCCATTGATGTTTGCACTTGAATTGTATAAAGTGTCTGGCAATTATTTGTGCTTATCATGCTGCTGACTAGAGCTTCGACCATGTATGAATTTTCCAGAATACAATATGTAGTTTCAGTAACATTAGTATAGTTAATGCTATTATATGGGTTTCTTTCTTGTGTAGCTTATTTTCTTGTTATACTTAATGCTATTATATGGTGCAGGGAGCCACGTGGCTTTGGATTTGTTCAGTTTGTAGACCCTGCTGATGCTGCTGATGCTAAATACCATATGGATGGTCAAATTCTCCTCGGACGGGAATTGACAGTTGTATTTGCTGAGGAGAACAGAAAGAAACCCTCGGAAATGAGGGCAAGAGACCGTGTTAGGTGAGATACCCATTAAACATTACACGGCAGTGTTCTTATTTCAAATTAGTTCTAGTTGGTATAGGTTGACTACTATTACAATGGTGTGTATACTTCATTGCATCTGAACGACTCAGTTTTGTTTGCAGTTTTAGATAGTTGATTTCCCATCTAATTAGTTTATACTTGTTGAATGTCTTATACCCCACCCATTTATTTCAAATTAGTTTTGGTATAGTTTTGACTACAATTACAATGGTGTGTATTTTATCTTGTTTGTTTTTTGTATTTAGGAGTCGGTCATATGATAACAGGCGATCCCGCTCTCGCTATTCACAATCACCGCACTATGCTCGAACATTTTCTCGAAGTCCTGATTATTATTCACCTTCCCCCAGGCCAAGGCGATACTCTAGGTATGGTGCTGACTTTTGTATACTATATATGTATTTGAATCTTTGTTTCCTATATGCAGGACAGACAGAACAATCAGTAAGAGGTAACTGTTTTGGTATTTTGATGTGGATGCAGGTCAATTTCACCTAGAGATAGAAGGTACCAGGACGAATCAGGTCTCCCTTTGGTTCAAGAAGCCATAGCCGCAGTCGGAGCCTGGACTACTCTCAGTAGTGCGGAAGATAATAGAGGTATGTATGCCTAATCGGGAGCTAGAGTTCCATGTTAAAAGTTGGGATATAAATAAATGGTAATTAGCGATGGTAACCATGGATTTCACGTCAACATTAAAAGAAGGGAATGCCTTGGTATCCTACTCTAGGTTTCTTTGTTCCGTCATTTGGTTGAATGCCTATTGTAACATGATGAACTCATTTTCGAAACTAGCTGTTGTGTTGAAATGATTTGGTTTTGTGTAATAGAGCTACCATATCAAAGTTGGTATTAGTTACCATTTAAGTTCCTAATAGTATTTATTCCTGCGGCGGATTCCGAGCCATCGAGTTTTAATTCAGCCTCTCCCAAAGCGTTTGTATCACAAAGAAGAATGAGAACACTCTGTGGACTGGGATTTCTCTTTTGGACGTGCTAACAGCATCGGTGCACGATGGATTGTTTTCTCGTTGAGACATGAAATCTTTCATCCGGGGCAATCCTCTTTACCACCAGACTGGCCCGTGACTGCTCTCTGAACGTACCTAGATCGTTTTTTGTGTCAAATTTGATTCTTCTATGTTATGTAGCATCTTCTTCGTTGGACGTTAGCCCTAAACTCGATCTTGAACAAGGAGACAACCATCATTTGCATTTTTTTTTAACAAACGATAAAAACACTCAAAGATGGGGGTTTGGCTAATTTTCACAATGAGTTTGCAATAACGTGGTTTAAATTTGTTTTTGGCGATTGTATATCAGATCTCTCATTTACAAATGAAGAAGAATATCACTAGAACGAGATACTAAGTGGCACAACCATTTGTATTTTACATGTGCTCTCTTAATTTACACACTTGAGAGTGCAGAAAGATTCATGTATCATACGTGCAAGCCTATCATGGCATCTCGTGTGAATAACAAAATAGCTTTTTAGCCCAACTAGTTCATGAGATTGATATTTCTTCTTATTTTGATCCTTAAAATTGAAAACCAATGTAAGTGATCTGAGTTTGTTCATCGTAAATTATTATGGTTTTTTGTGAAAATTTTATGTTAAATGAAAAAGCAAGTAGAAGTGTTGATCGGACAAAAAAAAATTATTTTAATAGAAATTTTTCATAAAATGATTGACAATGGATAAAACTCAATAATCACTTCTATCAATTTTAATTTTAAAGATGAAAACAAGAAATTATGTAAGTTATATGGATTATTTTGGTCTAAAAGGTCATTATATTATTCACATAAGACGCTATGATAGCCGTGTCCTACACCCTATTCTCCATTTTAACTCGCGAGGGAAGTGGAAGAGGTTGCCGTCATTGGAGGAGAGAAAGAGGGAAGTGATTGTGGAGTACAACCGAAAGATTGCGGTCCACGCAATCTTTAAATTCACACCGTTGCTTGTAAAGTAACTCGGCCCATCTTCAGTCATTACCTTTGGCGATATTTTATCCTTTTAAAATTTAAAAAAAAATAAAATAAAAAAAACCGTAGACTTAGATCTTTTCACCTCTGTTCGGCATGCACATGTTAAGGCTCTTGATGTCCATTTTGGCAATTATTAAAAGACGAGTTTACACAAATTCAGACTAAAAATAGCCCAAGGTTGTAGATGGTCTAAACTCGTTATTCACTCTTCACTCAAAATCATATGTTTGTTCACTCAAAATCATATGTTTGTTTATTTGTCACTCTTCACTCAAAATCATATGTTTATTATTATCTACCCATCTGATGATTGTGTGTTATTGTATAAGCAAATGCGATTATCTACCCATCTGATGATCGCATGTTATTATATAAATAAATACGAGAGTAGCTACATTGGCTAGAGCTGATATGCTCGGCCATTGAACTCGAATTTGAATTCTTTGAAAGAGTGATCGGATAGTGTAAACAAAATTTTAGTGCCATTGAGATTTTATAAAATTAAACAGGAAGACCACAACAAGTATGATATTTTTACAATTTAGTCCGACAAAAAGCAAAAGCTGCATACAACTTCACTCATACATACACGCTCATATATTTCTTTTTCCAAAAAAAAGAAAAGAAAAGAAAAGAAAAAGAAAATTCAAATCTCCACGCAGCACCCGGACTGCACGAACCCAGAGAACTCCTCCGGCGTTTCCATTTTCATCAATTTACCTTTCTGCCCTTCCACCAAAAAAGCCTCCTGCGATGCTCCCTGGAAAGCCGACCCCGCCAAAAAGGACCATTTCCCCAACCCGAGCGCGCAAGGCCCGGCCCGGACTCTCGGATCGCAGTCGCCCCAACAGAAGAACTTCCCGTCTTTCCCAACCCCGACGCACGACCTCGGGCACTGACCCGCCGGCCACACGTCCTCCTCCAGCCTCCACCGACCCGACCCGGTTTCATAGACCTCCGCACTCCCCACGAACCTCCCTTGCATGTCCGTCGCGTACCCGCTGACGACCCAAAACTCCGACCCGGATACGAACCCCTCGCACTCGTCTCGGCCCTGACTCATCTCGGTCAGCTCGCCCCATTCGTTCTCCCTCACATCGTAAACCATCGCCGATTTCATCGCGTTCTTGTTCTCGTCGTGGCCGCCGGCGATGTATATCCGCCCGTTTAGCTCACAGGCGGCGAAGAACGACCGGGTCTCGGGCATGTCCTTCCCCCGAGTCCACCGCTGAATCGTGAACTCGTACACGAACACGTCCCGAATCGGCTGGTAATTCGACGGGTCCCACCCGCCCATCACCACCAGCTTCCCCTCCGAGCTTGTCACCTGACAGAACATCGGAAGCCCGTGCGGGTACTTCGGAACCGGGTCGATCCGGTCCCAATTCCCACTCACGGAATCAAAAATGGAGACCCCATAACCAGGCGGTTTAGCCGGTTTGGCCTCGTCCGATCCCGTCTGAACCAGAAGAGCCTGGACCAGGCAGGCCGCCTTGTGGGTCCGCCCGGATTGCTTCCGGTGGTTATAAAATTCCCGACTTTGGACAAGGTGCTGCCATCGGCGGCAGACTTGGGAGGCTACTCGGTGAGTGGAATAGTGCAGACGGGTCAGGCACTCGTATCCGAGTTCTTCCGGCAGACCGGGAATTAACTCGGTTAGTAACTCGGCCATTTGCATTTGGCAAATTGACAAATTTTGGGTGATCAAATTGGACTTATAAAGTTTGTGTGTAGAAGAATTTGGCCGGGATTGGATAGGATAGGATGATGGTCGGGGTGGGGATTCAGTTGGGTATTTATAAGCAAACACCACACTCATAAATGAAGCCCCGGGGGCTGGATTTGGGGCTGTGGTTTGTAATCAACGGCTACCACGCGCCACACCACAGCCTTGGATATTTTGTAGGTTTTACGATGCTGCTAATATTAGAGAGATTAAATTTATAGATAAAATTTTGTAAACTAAATAACATAAAAAATGATGATTGAATTATTACTTCAGCGTTGATAAACGTGCTCATTATTATTGGTGCCACATTATTTAGTTTGTAAGTTTTATCAACAAATTTAGTCTCCCCAATACTATCCTTTATAGTTACTGCTCTTTTGAGTATTACTTAGGTATTCACTGGTGACTAACATGTATTCTCACTTTTTGATTGGCCCTATTAAAAGATGACACGTGTTTATTGTTTCTGAAAGTCGGAGAAAAATTAAATAGCATATACACTACTTTTTTTTAACAATAAAAATATGTGTTAAAATATTATGAGGCTAAATGTAAAAGGTGAGTATATAAATTACTCAATTGTGAATGCTTAAGTATAACGCCACTCTTTTTTTGTATGAATTTTTACAAATCTTGAATCAAATAATACAATATTCTTAATATAGGAGCGTGGGAAATAAATAGGCAATAATCAAAATTTCAAAGTGAAACTCAAACGTAAATATCAAGAACAACAACTCCAATCTTAATTAAAAAACACATAAACAAATCGCAATCATTGGGGAACAATGCAAGAAAAAAAAAACCCTCAAATAAGCATGTTATGTGTCTAACAATGTAAGGCCACACAAGTTGAGAATTGATTTAGCTTCCTATAAGCATTTTGTTGTCAATTAAAGCAAACCATAAATAAAATAACCAAATCGATCGATGGCTTTGAGTTTGAGAAATCTCCTGGCAGTTTTAATTAATTAATGTTTATCAAGGGTTTAAAAAATTACACTATGTTTGGATGAAGAAATTTAAGATTATTAAGGAATTTTAAAATGACGGAAATTTAAATGATGGAATTTTATTCTATAGAATTTGTGAATTTTCTTGTTTGGGTAACCTAAAAGAACAATGGAATTGAATACGGAATTTGTTGTTTTTAAACTCTCAATCATATAAATTGGAAAATGACACCTATTTATATGGAATTTAAATTTGGGAATTGGAGGTCCCAAATTCCAAGTTTTTTTTCCATGCTGAAATTCTAAATTTCTATATTTATGAATCTAAACAAGGGAATTGGTGCATGTCAATTTATAAATTGTCTTTAATCCAAATTCCAAATTTATTTCCCTCATCCAAACATAGTGTTAGGAAGTTTTAACGAAACACTATCGATACTGTTTACTTTAATAAAAAAGATATTTTTATTCACTTACACATTTATTTATCATTTTTTATTAAAATTAAAGATTTTATAAACTTTTCATTAGCATTCTTAAAAAAAGTAAAGATGAGGAGCTACGTTGAGAAGAGGTTATGACTGGTTGTTTTAAAAGTGGGACATCCTGCCAATAAGGACAAGTGGGGTTGACTGAGTGTGGAAACCAGGGAAAGGGTTCGTGTCGCACGTAACCATGTTGTCGGGTTTTGCGGGAAAAAAAAGTAAAGAAAATGTTCTGGAACAAATCCAACGTGGAAGGGTGGATGTACAAGATCAGTGTTATCTACATATTTATTTTTATTTTTCACACATAATTTTTGAGTTTTAGCAGTTGAATCGATAGAATTGAAACAGATTAATGAAAAAAATTAATAAGAATGTATAGAGATAAAAAGGTGTGTGTATATCTTATCTGGATAAAGACTTGGTTCATATCATCCATTTCTTTTGGTTATGTGAGCAAGTTACATAAAACAGATGTATAGCATTCTTATCTAATATTATAATGTCTTAAAAAATTTACACATATTATTATTTTATTAAAACAAAATGTTACAATGGCGGATAAATGAATATGTTTGGCTTGATATTATGGACAAAGAATAAATGATTATGTTTTCGAACCGTCTCCTTTGGAAATCATAAATTTTAGATTTGACAGCTTACGTGATATTTTGATATTTTTTAAAGTTTTTTTTCCACTTGATATGTCAAATTTTCAAATATGAACTTCGAATTTTACTAAGGGTTGTGAACTAATGTAGATTGATTTGTTATCTATGAGAGTCAAATGTAAAAACATTACCTACGATTAAAAAAACATACTATTAAACTAGGAGTGTGTTATTTACACACCTCATTTTATTTCTTACGAACTCTTTTAAATTTCGATCATCGAATAGAATGAATTTAAGCATATCAAAAAATAAAAATTAACAAGAAACTTATGAAAAGTAAAAGACGTGTTAAGATTAAAAACCGACAATATCAGTGATATATTTTCAGCAAGTTTGTTTCTGGCTTTTAGTAATTTCGTATAGATGTTGAATGATTGATGTGAATACCATTCAATATCCATCGAAGCTGTGTGAAAGGCCCACGGACTTGGATTGTCTGCCCTCCTAGTTGTGGTGCCCTTCCATGCCCTCCTATTTTGTGCGGTCACGGTTAAGCCACGTCAATATTTTATATTTTTATTATTTTTTGTCTTATTATCTTATTAAAAAATTAATATAAAATATTGACGTGGATTAACCGTGACCGCACAAAATAGGAGGGCATGGAAGGGCACCATAACTAAGAGGGCAGACAATCCAAGTCCAAGGCCCACACCCATTGAATTGTACAAAGTACAAACTTTGTGTCATTGGGTTTCAAACAAATGTCAGAAATCTGTCGATTTGGATCTATCCGAATTCAAATTGCGGAGATTTTTAGGAATTTTTACATTTTAGTCATTTATCATGCATCGTGCAATTAGAAATTATTTGATTTTTTTTATTTAAAATTAAATATAAATAGTACTTAACAAAAACTGACCGAACAATATACGATGAACGGCTAAGATGTGGATCTTCGGATCCGGAATGGATCTCTTCCTTTAAGTTGCACCTATTGCAGAGGTGGATGTGCCACCAATTGACACGGAACTGCATATTGCCACATGGTGTCGCCGGATTGTACCGTAATCCCAATAAGTTATTGGAAGTGGAATTGGATCCTCTTCGAGGCAAAGCCTCGGGATCCTGTTGGCCTACTAACACAGGTCGTTAGATTTTGATCTAACGATTACAATTATATAACTTTAGGAGAGTCTTCTTGTTTGTAGCCGTTGGATCAAAATCTGACCCTTGTTATTAGATAAGGAAGATCCCAAGGCTTTGCCTTGGAGAGGATCCAATTCCATTGGAAGTGGACCTGGATGATGACTGACGGAGAAGAACATATTTCATGAGTATGCAACATTTGTGGTTAGCGGTTGGACTCCATTTTCCATGTGTCCAAAATTTGGATAACCACGAGAGATTTTTCAGTGTAAGCGATACATCGAGTAGTATATCATTTGTAATTATACAAATTGAGAATGTGTATGTTAAAAAGTTAGTAACTTCAAAAATAAAATTTTTCACTACTTATATAAAAACACGTGGTATATCACCTACGTTCCAACCACAATGAAAAGTTTCTTGATAACCACCAAACTTACCAAAATGGAATACCAATCAGATCTCTTAGCCGACAACAATAACTATTTTCTAAATATTTATGATGATTTTTTTTTTCAGACATGATATTATATAGTGAGCGCCTAATGAGGTTAGATAGCTAGCTGTTAAAGAGAAATATAATCTACGAAGATGAAATTCGTATCATGATGCGTCAGTACAATTGCCTTCAATGATGGAGCCAAAATTTCATGGGATAAGGGGCCTCTCACAAATATAAAAGAAGAAGAAATAATGTATAGCAAAATTAGTCGTGAAATTTAGATGGTTCTCATCCTTTATGGATACTTTATTATTCAGTTAATCTCTTTCAAATGTACAGTCTAGTGAGTTGAGTAGCGTTTTAAGTTAAATTGTTTAGTTTTAAAGTTAAATTGTTTATGAAATAACTCCTAGCTTGTATAAAGGACTGCAAAACTAGTCATAAGGTTTTATGCTTCATTTTCTCTTATAATTTCTTTTAATGAGAATATTGACTTTACTCTCTTCAAAATCATTCTTCACATCTTCCTTCGCACTTTTTGTTTATTTTATTTGGTGTTGAATTGTTACCGTAAAATATTGTAGTCACTATCACTTTTTGATCCATGTACACAGTTAACACAAAGTTTTGGATTCAGTTATCACTTTTGGTACAGGGTTGAAGCGGGAAGCCATGAAAGATGTCAAGTTGCATTAGAATCGAGTTTAATCAGTACGACACTTTGGGTTTAATAGGTGCAATGATGTGGCTTTCAATGTTCAAATGATGTGGAGGCGACATGATTTTATCCTCTTTTTTTTGTTTTGTTTAATAATTTCCAGGAATTGTTTTGGAGTTTGGTTTGATTTCTCTCTATAGGAGAGTTCAATAGTTTGATTGCTCTCTATAGGAGAGTGCTGGTTTTAATTTTCGTTTGGTGGCTATCTTTTTGGATCTATGTGTGAAGGGTGAAGCTATTTTCATTTGCTGGATCTACTTCATTTAGTGTTCTGGGATCATGGTGGTGATTAGGTGATGCGATCAACCCATGGGCTTCGTACGCCTGGTCCCAATTTATGGTTTGACATTTTGTTCTCACATGATCTCCCTCTGACACAAAGTTCAACAATTTTATTGATTGTAATCATGCGATTCCGATGAGCTCAGACAAGCACTAAAGTCTACTAATTGTTTTGCGATTAGTGTCGCTTTATTGTAATATTTTTAGGACCAGTTTGCAAGGACCTTTTTGGGACCAAATTATTTAATGATAAGGACAAGAAATAAAAAAGAAAAAAAATAAAAAACAATCCAACCCAACCGCGTGTAAGCACGCGCCAACCAATTCAATTATCAAATCAAACCTCTGCTGTGACTATGAGCAGATAGAACTGATAAGAAGACTAACGTGCAATGCAAAATAAGTTGGGAGTAGTACAAT